AGACTATACTATTTCACTAAAGAACGTGCCTGTTTCATTTTCCGCATTTCATACTCTTGCCTGAATTGACTTGACCCTTCAGTTTGTTGAAAGTATTCACTGTCAAACCGTCCATCTACAATTCAAGTTCAATGCATAAGATAACAACAAAGCAATAGGCTCAAGCTTCTACAGAAAAAAGTTGAACGTGTCGACAAGATCAAACTAATAAACCACGTATGTCAATCAATAACCTGAATCAAATTTGATTTCTTTACGAGGAGCCGAAGATCCCCAGCCACCAGATTTTGTGGGTGCAGCTGCAGCACCGTCTGGTATGGCTTGAATCCTATCAGGTAATGCAAGTACCAAATCATTACGAGCGGCAAGTTCTTCTGCTGAAAGTCCTTTAACCTGCAATGTAAACCATCATCATCACAGAAGCGAACTCAAAGCGTCAGACTATTACTCAGTACTCACTTATTTAAGGATCAAACGCATGTAGAAACAACATAGACAATGCCCATGGCAAGAAAAAACCAAAGACTGTTTATTGACCTCATACTGGAATGAGTTTCACCACAATTCAAGGATAAATGAGTATAAGAAGCATTACTAGATGGCTAAGTAAACTGAGCAACATGCTTACTCCATCTAACCATTGACATTGAAGGAGCAAGCTGAAATGCCTTAGTCGGTCAACTAGTCATCTCAAAATACCACATAAAATCACTATCCTGGTTAAATCAAACAGCCTCAAAAAATAAAACTATTCATTGTCAGCACCAACAGATTTCAAAATCTTCCCTAAAGTCAACAATTTTACACCTTTTTCTAGTTAAGAATATAATTATCACTCTTCTCAGGATTTTGTTTGAAAAAATGTTACAGTCATATCTACATTCATGGCATAGAGTACAAAGACAAAGTGATATGATGATTTCACTTGCTATTGACATATCTAGGTTTTGTTTCTTGCATTGCAAAAACAAAAGGCTTGGAGCAGTTCTCTATCTTTATCATTGCAATAATACAAGTTGCTTTATCAAGTATCACATTCTCAAAAACAACATGAAGCTGTACATAAACTGCAAGAGTCCAGGAAGCAAACCTTATTGGTGAACTAATCCGACAAGTAAATAGCCTTTAAGTGTACCATACAAGGACCAATTTTACACAATGTTTATAGATCTGGGTTTATCAATTTTTTTGGCACCATCAACGACAGTAATGAATGAGATGAAAATGCATCAGAAGCAGAAGCCCGAAGTAACACAATGCAGAAGCTTTTCTCAATTTAAAGAGATTTCCCAGGCCTTGATTCATACATCATACTATTACCGGTTAA